AGGTTTCAGGACTGGTCATTCAACTGAGACTGCTCTTCTCTGTGTCACGGAGACTCTCCGCACTGCTAAAGCTAACTCTCTCTCCTCTGCTCTTGTCCTTCTAGACCTGTCTGCTGCCTTTGATACTGTGAACCATCAGATCCTCCTCTCCACCCTCTCCGAGCTGGGCATCTCCGGCGCGGCTCACTCCTGGATTGCGTCCTACCTGACCGGTCGCTCCTACCAAGTGGCGTGGCGAGAAGCTGTCTCCGCACCACGTGCTCTCACCACTGGTGTCCCCCAAGGCTCAGTTCTAGGCCCTCTCCTTTTCTCCCTATACACCAAGTCACTTGGCTCTGTCATATCCTCACATGGTCTCTCCTATCATTGCTACGCTGATGATACACAACTAATCTTCTCCTTTCCCCCTTCTGATAACCAGGTGGCGAATCGCATCTCTGCATGTCTGGCAGACATATCAGTATGGATGACGGATCACCACCTCAAGCTGAACCCTGGCAAGACGGAGCTGCTCTTCCTCCCGGGGAAGGACTGCCCGTTCCATGATCTCGCCATCACGGTTGACAACTCCGCTGTGTCCTCCTCCCAGAGTGCGAAGAGCCTAGGCGTGACCCTGGACAACACCCTGTCATTCTCCGCCAACATCAAGGCGGTGACCCGCTCCTGCAGGTTCATGCTCTACAACATTCGGAGAGTACGACCCTGCCTTACACAGGAAGCGGCACAGGTCCTAATCCAGGCACTTGTCATCTCCCGTCTGGACTACTGCAACTCGCTGTTGGCTGGCCTCCCTGCCTGTGCCATTAAACCCCTACAACTCATCCAGAATGCCGCAGCCCATCTGGTGTTCAACCTTCCCAAGTTCTCTCACGTCACCCCCCTCCTCCGCACACTCCACTGGCTTCCAGTTGAAGCTCGCATCCGCTACAAGACCATGGTGCTTGCCTATGGAGCAGTGAGGGGAACGGCACCTCTGTACCTTCAGGCTCTGATCAGTCCCTACACCCAAACGAGGGCATTGCGCTCATCCACCTCTGGCCTTCTGGCTCCCCTTCCTCTGCGGAAGCATAGTTCCCGCTCAGCCCAGTCAAAACTGTTCGCTGCTCTGGCACCCCAATGGTGGAACAAGCTCCCTCACGACGCCAGGACAGCGGAGTCACTCACCACCTTCCGGAGACATTTGAAACCCCACCTCTTTAAGGAATACCTGGGATAGGATAAAGGAATCCTTCTACCCCCCCCCCCCCTCCCCCCCAATTGTAAAGTGGTTATCCCACTGGCTATAGGGTGAACGCACCAATTTGTGAGTCGCTCTGGCTAAGAGCGTCTGCTAAATGACGTTAATGTGCCCTTGAGCAAGGCACTTAACCCTAATTGCTCCTGTAAGTCGCTCTGGATAAGAGCGTCTGCTAAATGACTAAAATGTAAATGTAAATGTAACAAACTGAAATGGTCCACCCACGCAGACAGTGTGGTGAAGAAGGCGCAACAGAGCCTATTCAACCTCAGGAGGCTGAAGACATTTGTCTTGGCACCTAAAACCCTCACAAACTTTTACAGATGCACAATTGAGAGCATCCTGTCGGGCTGTATCACCGCCTGGTACGGCAACTGCACCGCCCGCAACCGCAGGGCTCTCCAGAGGGTGATGCGGTCTGCCGAACGCATTACCGGGGGCAAACTACCCGCCCTCCAGGACATCTACAGCACCCGATATCACAGGAAGGCCAAAAAGATCATCAAGGACACCCCAGCCACAGCCTGTTCACCCCGCTATCATCCAGAAGGCGAGGTCAGTACAGGTGCATCAAAGCCGGGACCGAGATAATTAAAAAAAGCTTCTATCTCAAGGCCATCAGGCTGTTAAATAGCCATCACTAGCACACTAGAGGCTGCTGCTGCCTATTGAAATCACTGGCCACTTTAAGAAATAGAATACTAGTCACTTTAATAATGTTTACATATCTTGCATTACTCATCTCATATGTACAGTGGGGAGAACAAGTATTTGATACACTGCTGATTTTGCAGGTTTTCCTACTTACAAAGCATGTAGAGGTCTGTAATTTTTATCATAGGTACACTTCAACTGTGAGAGACGGAATCTAAAACAAAAATCCAGAAAATCACATTGTATGATTTTAAAGTAATTAATTTGCATTTTATTGCATGACATAAGTATTTGATCACCTACCAACCAATAAGAATTCCGGCTCTCACAGACCTGTTAGTTTTTCTTTAAGAAGCCCTCCTGATCTCCACGCATTACCTGTATTAACTGCACATATTTCAACTCGTTACCTGTATAAAAGACACCTGTCCACACACTCAATCAAACAGACTCCAACCTCTCCACAATGGCCAAGACCAGAGAGCTGTGTAAGGACATCAGGGATAAAATTGTAGACCTGCACAAGGCTGGGATGGGCTACAGGACAATAGGCAAGCAGCTTGGTGAGAAGGCAACAACTGTTGGCGCAATTATTAGAAAATGGAAGAAGTTCAAGATGACGGACAATCACCCTCGGTCTGGGGCTCCATGCAAGATCTCACCTCGTGGGGCATCAATGATCATGAGGAAGGTGAGGGATCAGCCCAGAACTACACGGCAGGACCTGGTCAATGACCTGAAGAGAGCTGGGACCACAGTCTCAAAGAAAACCATTAGTAACACACTACTCTGTCATGGATTAAAATCCTGCAGCGCACGCAAGGTCCCCCTGCTCAAGCCAGCGCATGTCCAGGCCCATCTGAAGTTTGCCAATGACCATCTGGATGATCCAGAGGAGGAATGGGAGAAGGTCATGTGGTCTGATGAGACAAAAATATAGCTTTTTGGTCTAAACTCCACTCGCTGTGTTTGGAGGAAGAAGAAGGATGAGTACAACCCCAAGAACACCATCCCAACCGTGAAGCATGGAGGTGGAAACATCATTCTTTGGGGATGCTTTTCTGCAAAGGGGACAGGACGACTGCACCGTATTGAGGGGAGGATGGATGGGGCCATGTATCACGAGATCTTGGCCAACAACCTCCTTCCCTCAGTAAGAGCATTGAAGATGGGTCGTGGCTGGGTCTTCCAGCATGACAACGACCCGAAACACACAGCCAGGGCAACTAAGGAGTGGCTCCGTAAGAAGCATCTCAAGGTCCTTGAGTGGCCTAGCCTGTCTCCAGACCTGAACCCAATAGAACATCTTTGGAGGGAGCTGAAAGTCCATATTGCCCAGCGACAGCGCCGAAACCTGAAGGATCTGGAGAAGGTCTGTATGGAGGAGTGGGCCAAAATCCCTGCTGCAGTGTGTGCAAACCTGGTCAAGACCTACAGGAAACGTATGATCTCTGTAATTGCAAACAAAGGTTTCTGTACCAAATATTAAGTTCTGCTTTTCTGATGTATCAAATACTTATGTCATGCAATTAAAATGCAAATTAATTACTTAAAAATCATACAATGTGATTTTCTGGATTTTTGTCTCTCACAGTTGAAGTGTATGATAAAAAAATTACAGACCTCTACATGCTTTGTAAGTAGGAAAACCTGCAAAATCGGCAGTGTATCAAATAATTGTTCTCCCCACTGTATATGCTGTATTCTATAATATTCTACTGTATCTTAGTCCATACCGCTCTGTCATTGCTTGTCCATATATGTATATATTCTTAAATTCCATTCCTTACATAGATTTGTGTGTATTGGGTATATGTTGTGAAATTGTTAGATATTACTTGTTAGATATTACCGCACTGTCGGAGCTAGAAGCACAAGCATTTCGCTACACCCTCAATAACATCTGCTAAACACGTGTATGTGACAAATAAAATTTGATTTGATTTGATTTGAAATGTGAAGTAGATTTTGTAGATCTGTCAGAAAAAATCTAATTTAATTGCTTTTTTTGATGTAATTTTACGGCAGCAAAATGTGAAAACTGTGCAAGGTGTATGTAGACTTTCATTAGGCACTGCAGGCATTCAATCCACATATTGGATCTAGTGATGAGACACATTTCATCACTACAGGAAGCGGTTTCACAAAGGTGTATGTGTTTGGAATACACTCAGACGTTGACTGTAACAGACGCTGTAATATCAGTCAAGTGTTGTTTTTGGACCGTACAGTGTTCTTCAATCAAAATAATTATGATTAATGAGCTAGCTAATTGTTTAGTTTTCTTAATGAGCTAGCTAATTGTTTAGTTTTTTATGATTTTTTAAAAACGAATCAGACTATTCTGTTTTCCTCATGAAAGGTCAATGTATCCGTCTGAACCTTGCAAAAGCCTGTTGCGTGTCTATAATGTGTATTGCCATAACTTCATCAACAGGGGGCAGGAACTTAACGCTAATCATTATGGAAGCGTATATATCAGCCGAAAATCAGTTGGAAATGCTAATTGCTAATGCTAAATCAACATCACATTTGTCCTTCCTTTTCCCATTCATGTGTGCAGAATCTTGGTTTACCCAGAACTAAAATCTCATGGAATTTGGTCAGATGCTTGATTACCATTTATGTTTACATAGTCTGTCCACGGGAGATTAATGTGTGCATAATCTGTGACAAAACTCAAATGTAAAAATCCGTCCTGTTGTTTCCTGAGAACTTAGTTCTTAGAATTTCCCCACAATCTCCAGTGTTCCCTTTCAATTGTTACCATGGTATGTATATGCTTCTCTTATTTTGTTTGTTTAGAAACATTTCAATTTGGGCCTGTCCATATAGGCCAATTCTCCCGACTGTAAAGGTTTAAAACTATTAATTTTATGTTATGGATGGTCAGTCCTTTGATCCATAGCTCAGTATGAATTTGAGAGTGGTTACATTTCTCCAGCCTCATTCCTCAGCTGTTTACCCCCCCCCCCCCAAAAAAAAAGTGATTGCTTTGTTGGGGTGAAGCTTTGTTGTTTTAGGATTCCCAGATTGCTCCTTTAATTAAAGTACAATGTTTTTATGGTATGAAAAAGCTGAGTAAATAAATCCACAGTCACAAAGGAAGTGTACGTAGGACTACATGTTTTTAATCAACGCAAAACACTTAACCATGAAAATCATATTTTATGCAACACAGGAAAATGTTAAAGACTTTGATCTTCAATACATTGGTCTATTCAGCAGCTTCCTTGCCCTGTAAGAAGAAAGAAAAGCATAGATCAGTATTGAATAACAATAATAGAACAAAATGTATGAACACTTGGAAATAATATAATGGATCAAGAATTTAATGCTCAGTGCTCAGCTTAAATTACCAACAAATCACACTACCTGAAATGTGCTTCTTAGAGGTCTTAAATACATTTCAGTGAGTGTAAAAGGTCCGTATTGACCTCTGTGAAGGCTAATTCATAGGTGTTGTTGATGTGGTCATCTTTGATCTACGAGTCAGGTTTAGCAGCAGCTCAGTACCTTTCCACCTTCGCGGGTCTTGGCTCTGAGCTTGTTGACCTGAGTCTCAGCGATGTCAGCACGCTCCTCAGCCTCCTCCAGCTCATGCTGAACCTTCCTGAACTTAGACATGTGCTGGTTGGCTGCTTCCTCCTGGGTGAGGAAAGAGAGGAGAGCAGAACTTCAGCATTCAAAGTTTGAAGCTTCGGGTAGCAAATTAATAAATATACTTCGTAAGTATTTGAAAGCTTTTTTATTGACAGATAGCAATGTATGTTAGATGATACAGCAGAGAAAGTGAGTTGCAGAACGGGGGATCAAACCGCAATATTAATATTAATATTGAACCCCCTCTCCTTTAAGTTGGTAACACATAACACATCAATTATTTCCGTTATCAATTGAGTCATTGTTGACTGATGTGCAGTAGCACTTACTTCAACTAAACGGTATGGACATGAAGTTTTGTAATGTCTACTAGGGGGAAAATATGTATGCTTTCAGAGTATTTGACTAAGTCTGTGACTCACCGCTTCCTCAGCCTGCCTCTTGTAGGCCTTCACTTTCAACTGCAGCTTATCTACCAGGTCCTGAAGTCTGCCAACGTTCTTCTTATCCTCCTCAGTCTGTGGGAGAAGATCAAAGAATCAATTCCCCATCGTTTTATTCACAAACCTGTCTGTGTTAGTGTCAAGTGTGTGAAGAAGGCACATTCTCTTACCTGGTAGGTGAGCTCCTTGACTCTGCGTTCATACTTGCGGACTCCCTTGACCGCGTCTACACCTCTTCTCTGCTCGGCCTCCACCTCGGTCTCCAGCTCACGCACCTTCGTGGAAGAAATGGACGTAGGTATGTATTTAAAGGTGTTGAAAGACGTCACATATCTTAGTAAAACAGAGGTATCTTCTTCTACTACTCAGTCAAGGAGGCACAATGTTGTCTGTTCCTGTGTACTGGTAAATTTTTAATTGAAGGGGTTTGTAATCATAACAACAGCTTTTCATTATCTAAGGGGGTTATTGAGAGAAAAAATCATTACACAATGCTTCTGTGTATTTTTATATGATCAAATACATTTCCAGCAATCAGTCTTTCAATCCACACTGCTGTTAACTCACCCTGGACTCCAGTTTCTGGAGCTGCTTCTTGCCTCCCTTCATGGCCAGATTCTCAGCCTCATCCAGGCGGTGCTGCAGGTCCTTGACCGTGACCTCCAGGTTCTTCTTCATCCTCTCCAGGTGAGAGCTGGTGTCCTGCTCCTTCTTCAGCTCCTCAGCCATCATGGCCGCCTGGAATGGTAGTTTGTTTAATTTATGCACCGATTGGCACCAATCATAGTCTCTCTAGACAGACGGGTTGCCTCTCACAATGTACGAATGTTCCAGCATACTCGTCTGTACTAAAACCAACGTCAATTTGACAGAGGAAAGGGGGGAGTTGAGTGCCGTAAAATCCGTCCGGAGTCCTGCCGTAAAGCCCGCCTACCCAGATGTGTGATTTGTTGGGAGAGTTGTCTGTCAAAATAGCACCCTTCCCGAATTGGCCAAGAAAATCCGACATGATTCCTAGACCTAGTGCTGTTGCCCATAGGTCTGGGATTTCCAACACTGCACCAATCATAACGTCCCTCTGAGATCTTTGTTGTGGTTAACCAGCCCACCTACCATTGGCCCTTATGGACAAAATCAAGTTGATGTAATTCAATAGAGATCATAAGGACTCACGTCAGTGATGGCCTTCTTGGCCTTGTCCTCTGCGTTCCTGGCTTCCTGGACGATGTCGTCCACCTCTCCCTGCACCTGCACCAGGTCAGTCTCCAGCTTCTTCTTGGTGTTCAGAAGGCTGGTGTTCTGGAGGAGGAAACAAGACCATTTGTTTGACTCTCGAGAACTCACAAGTCACAAGGGCAGAATTATGAAAATCTAAAAGCAAGCACTGTCGAATTCCAGGTGCGTGTAAACGATATGCTAGGTTTTATTAGAAATAGCTTTTGACCCGTACCTGGGAGTGCAGCAGTCCAACACGCTCGCTGGCGTCTACCAGCTCAGTCTCAGCCACTTTGCGGCCTCTCTCTGTCTGCTCCAGAGCAACTCTCAGCTCCTCGATTTCAGCCACCATCAGACCGTTTCTGCGCTCCACCATGGCTGCCTGCTCCTTCATGTCCTCTGAGGCGCGGACAGCGTCATCAAGGTGCAATTGGGCATCCTGGGGTTCACAATGACATAGGTTCATTAAGACTCATGGGCAATAGGATCAGTGATAGACATTTTAATTGATAATAATTTCCCAAATGTCCATTCCTTTCAACAGTATATTAGTCCACTCTATTAAATTCCTCTCTTCTATTCTTTTTTACAGATAAAAAAACAACGAATCCCTCCCCATGTTCAGATTTTTGTTGCCTGATGTCCCAGTCCCTTTACCTTGAGCTGTCCCTGGACGTTCCTCAGCTGTTTCTGAGCCTCAGCGGCCTGCCTGTTGGCGTGGCTCAGCTGGATCTCCATCTCGTTCAGGTCTCCCTCCATCTTCTTCTTCACCCTCAGGGCGTCATTCCTGCTCCTGACCTCAGAGTCCAGGTTGCTCTGCATGGAGTCAACCACCCTCTGGCTGTTCCTCTTGATCTGCTCCATCTCCTCGTCCTTCTCAGCGATCTTCCTGTCCACCTCACCCTTGATCTGGTTCAGCTCCAGCTGCACGCGCAGAATCTTGGATTCCTCGTGCTCCAGTGTTCCCTGGACAAAGAGAAGCAGTCAGGCGAATTGTGTTCAATACATTTGTATTTGGATGTGTATAACACAAGGAATTAAATATATATGACTACAATAAACACCAATAAAGAAAGCATTGGACCGTAGCAGGAATTGCTTTTCCCATCAAACAGCTGTAGTTTGTACCTCAGCCTCCTCCAGAGCGGTCTGGATCTCAGACTTCTCTGTCTCCACGGTCTTCTTTGCCTTCTCCAGCTCATGGATGCTCTTGCCAGTCTCTCCGATCTGCTCAGTCAGGTCAGAGATCTCCTCTGCACACACAAACACAGGAGCAGTTTAGGCTCGGGAGATTTTCAGTGGAGATCGCCAATGCACTAAAGTTGACATTGAATCATAATAACAGTTCATTAGTAACATCACTTCATATGGTCTTGCAAATCGAATTGCCACCTACTTCCTTGGGTTGTTCGAAAGAATACAGATTACAAGTTCAGACAATAATACTTTAAACAGTACATAAAACAATTCTGAGATGGTGTAATAGTAATTTTGATGTAATTTTGATGATTACAGTTCCCTCCATTTTCAAAAAATAGAACTGCTGTCAAATGCTCACGTTGCAGGTTCTTGTTCTCTCTCTTCAGAGTCTCCAGTTGATCCAGAGCCTCCTCGTAGGAGTTCTTCATCTTGAAGAGTTCAGTGCTCATAGAGCGAGCCTCCTTCTGAGCTCCTTCCAGCTCAGCCTGACCCTCCTCATACTTCTGCTTCCACTCTGCCAGAACCTAGGGAAATACATGGGATTTTCATTAGAACTAATTGATGGAGAGTTTTGAATCAGAAATATGTTACGATTGTACAACAATTGATCAAATAGCACACAGAAAATATCACACTAGGGTTAGGTTTATAAATGTTCACCTTGTCAAAGTTCCTCTGCTTCTTGTCGAGGTTGGCGGCCATTGCGTTGGCTCTCTCAACGTCAATCATGAGGTCCTCCACCTCTCCCTGTAGCCTCTGCTTGGTCTTCTCCAAGGAGGCGCACTTGGAGTTCGTCGCCTCAATGGTCTCCTCTGCCTCCTGCAGACGCTGGGCCAGCTTCTTCCTGTTGGACGACAGAGGGTGGTTTTATGGTGAACAATTTGTTGTGAAACAAATGTTACAATACATATTGACTTAACATTTTCTCAGAGCCCACTACCACCCTATAGTTGTGTTTTTGCTGTTGTGTACAACTCACTTGGCCTCCTCCAGCTCCTCTGTGCGCTGGATGGCATCAGTTTCATACTTAGTCCTCCACTGAGCCACCTCACTGTTGGCCTTGGACATGCCACGTTGCAGCTCTGCCTTGGCCTCTTGCTCCTCCTCAAACTGCTCCCTCAGGAGGTCACAGTCATGGCGGGCAGACTGAACACCGTGGGCCAGTGCGTTTTTAGCCTGAGAAAGAAAGCAAGAAAGACAAAGACAAAGAGAGATTAGAGAGAGAGTAAAACAGTCTCTGAGAGTGGCGTAGTCACCGTCTTCACGAAGACATGGCTCTAAACTGTGGTAGGTGGAGTCCATTTTGGGTCCCTTACCTTGATCTCCTCCTCAATCTGCCTCTTCAGCTCCTCCACCTGCTGGGTGAAGGCCTGTTTGCCTCTGGTCAGCTGAGACACCAGGGCTTCCTTCTCCTCCAGCTGGCGGCCAAACTCGCCTGCAGGGAAAGAGGGGGCATTGTGTTAATAGGGTCTCTGCTCTCTAAGATTTAAAATGTATTTTGAAGTATCGTAGGGCAATGTTAGGTGGTGAATAGTGCAGGAGACACTATGTGGACTGGACTTACAGCCACCAACACATGTTATTGTGTACAGCTGAGGTGTACTACATTGGTTTGTTGTTCATTGTTGATGGTTACCATTTTCTGTCAGGAGTCTGGCCCTCTGTCCGCTGATGTCGTTGACCTGGCGAACATTCTCATCATTCTTAGTCTTGATCTCGCTCAGCTGGTCCTCAAGAGTACGGCACATCTTCTCCAGATTGCCCTGTTAGTGAAACATATGGGACTCCTGTCAACTTCAGTGCACTTGAATGGTAATGAAGTTGACCCTCCTCAACACTGCTTGACCAAAACATCACTACTCACCTTAGCCTTGGCGACGGCCTCCATGTTGCTGGAGAGGTCATCAATCTCCATCTTGTACTCACTCTTCTCCTTCTCCAGCTTTTGCTTGACTCGCTGCAGGTTGTCGATCTGCTCCCCGAGCTCAGCCACACTGTCGGCCTGCTTCTTGCGCAGAGCGGCGGCTGTGGCCTCATGCTGAAGGGTGGACTCTTCAAGATCACGACGCAGCTTCTGGAACTCAGCCTCACGCTTCTTGTTCATCTCAATCTGAGCAGCAGTGGCACCTCCGGCCTCCTCCAGCCTCTCGCTGATCTCCTCAAGTTCCCTGGAGAGATCGGCCCTCTGCTTCTCAACCTTAGCCCTAGCAGCACGCTCAGCCTCAATTTCCTCCTCCAGCTCCTCAATACGGGCCTAGAACAGGGGGCAGGAGTAGGGGGGATGAACACTACAAGGGGGGGATGAACACTACAATACAGTTGAAACAATTGAACCTCACAAAATAATAATAGTATGTATATTTTGCATACATTTCTTAATACAAAGCCAGTCACACTAATATCTTCAGTAGACAGTGTCCAATGTGGCAACCAAAACCACAACGGTAAGAAGCACCATCTTTACAACGGTTAAAAGCACCAGTAAGAAGCACCATCTTCCAACTTACTGAGCCATCAGAAGCCACCAGAAAATATGTGTGCTACCAGAATCATTTTTTAAGGAAATGATTCAGGTGTGTGCTTTCCTGTACTGGAGCTTAGATCCTGTACTGTACCTGGAGTTCCTTGATCTTCTTCTGCAGCTGAGCTCCCAGAGACTGCTCATCCTCAATCTTGCTGAGGAGCTGGGTGGTCTCAAAGTCCTTCCTAAGAAACACAAACACGTCGATTGCAGAGTTGGTTTTGGTTTGATAGTGTGAAGGGAGAATATAATACCATTCACTTTGCTTTTTAGAAAAACATACAAATCCTAATTCATAATTACAAGTCTAAGCCAGGAACAACCATTATGTTGATCAATATGGCAGGTAATACTGTAGTAATTTGTTTGTGTTCACTTCTTGATTTTCTCATCAGACTGCTGCTTGTCATTCTCCAGGTCCATTATGGACTCCTGGGCCAGTTTCAGATCTCCCTCCAGCTTTCTCTTGGCTCGCTCAAGGTCCATACGGAGCTTCTTCTCTTGCTCCAGAGAACCCTCAAGCTACAAGATAAAAACACACATGTAATGTTCAAATCTAACCAACTGAAGATAATATCATCTTACATACAATCATGGTCAAAATGTCAAACTCCACTCACGTCGTCCACTTGCTGTTCCAGCTTGGTCTTGGCCTTGGTCAGAGTGTTGACTTTGTCCTCCTCTGCCTGCAGGTCGTCCAGTGTCTGCTGGTGGGCCTCTTGGAGGGCTTTCTTCTCCTTGGTCAGCTTGGCAACACTCTCATCCATAGATGCCATCTCCTCTGTCAGGTTTTTAACCTGAAAACGTCCACAACAAATGTAAGTCTTTGGTCACTTCACCACGAAGGGGAGATTTAGTTTGATATATATTGCATTAAATTCATTCAGATTATAATTGTGTCCACAAGTACTGTACTATTCAACACTAAATGGCGCTGTACACCATGCCAGTGTACTGAATAGAAGTCATAAATGAGGGGGAACAGAACATGTATTGAATGTGCGGAGAAAAACTGCATCTGAAATTCCACTATTTTGTGTCTTCATTTCCCTACACCTACAAAACAACTTGAAATCCATTTCTGTTTAACTATGTTTTGAGTAGATTTTTGTTTGGATGTTTAGACTGTCTACGAGACCTTGTTTTCAGTGGCGTGCTTCTCCTTCTCCACTTTGGCCAGGGTGAGCTCCAGGTCATCAATGTCCTTCTTCAGCTCAGAGCACTCATCCTCCAGCTTCCTCTTCTTGGCAGTCAACTCAGCGTTCATCTCCTCCTCATCCTCCAGCCTCTCGGTCGTCTCTTTGAGTTTGGCCTCCAGCTGGATCTTGCTCTTGATGAGCCCCTCGCACCTTTCCTCAGCATCGTTCAGATTCTCTGAATCCTGGTTTCAGAACAGGGAGAAAAAAATCTACGGCCTCACTTTGTGTATCCAAATATAGACTTAATTTAGTCAAATAGGTCAGAGCAAATCAATATAAATGCTTGAAATATATATGTAACATGGGTAACACAAATAAATGTGAGTTAGCACATACAACACAGCAGTGTTTCCCCTATGTTCATTTAGTTGTTGCCACTCCCCCCAAAAGTTTTATTTTTTATTTTTTTTATTTTAGGGATGGTAAAACGTTCTTCAGTTTAAACTTAAATGACTAAAGTGTTAAAATATAATAGAGCTATATATATATATATATATATTTTTTTTTTATAGTATCATCTTTGAGAACTTACAATCACCAAAATAAAAACTTGACAGTCAGGTAGAATCTAAAATTCCCAAAATGTCAAACATTTTGTTATAATGTTTAAGTCACTCAGATAGCGTAAGAACACAGCATAAGCCATGGCAAAAAAATTGTAGAATTGCAGGAAATTGGCTTTAAAACTGGATTTTTTCTCTCTCAGCCATCAGCCCCATGACAAAATGTGTAGAAGTGCAGGAAACTAGCTTTAAAACTGTAAAATGTTCTCTGCCCCATGGCAGAATGTGTAGAAGTGCAGGAAATTAGCTCCCCTAGGGAGACTCTAGGGGAGACAGTGAGTCACAGTGTACGTGTCTGTTCTTATGTGTGTGTGTGTGTGTGTGTGTGTGTGTGTGTGTGTGTGTGTGTGTGTGTGTGTGTGTGTGTGTGTGTGTGTGTGTGTGTCTCACTGTCTGTCTGTGTGATTGTGTGTGTGTCTGTGTTTGTGTTTGTGTTCATGTGTGAGTAAATTATGAGGGTCGTTCTCACTCACAGATGCTACTTGGAGCGCCAGGTCTGCCCTCTCCTGCACCAGGGACACCAACTTCTCCTCCAACTGCTTCTTCGTGGCCAGTGCCTTGGCCAGGTCCGTCTGCATCTTCTCATAGTTCTCCTTCATGTTGGCCAGCTCCTTCTCAGTCTCAGCGCTCTTCAGCAGGGGCTTGATCTTGAAGTACACCTTCATCCATGGCCAGGTTTTCACATTCATGAATGAGCGGATGTTGTACTGGATGGTGAAGACAGCATCTCTGGTCGACAGAAAGGACAGAGTGGCATGGTGAGTGGCATGGTGAGTGGCATGGTGAGTGGCATGTTTAATAAAGCTACATTCTGGAATTCGAAGAACAACAAAAATGGAGCCCCCCCCCCACCACCACTTTGTGTACAGCTGAGGGATAGGGCTAGGGAAATGTAACCCCTCTTAAATTCATAGACTGCGCTCTAGATAGATGCAAGCTCATGAGGCATTTTATATTCTTCAAGAATTAATGGGTAAATGACAACTGAACAGCTTGCCAAATCCCAAACTACAGCTATAATAGAGCATTTTAAGTCATACTTTCTCATTGTGAACAACTCACAGCATATACCGTATGTAATCATAATGCATTAGATACAGGTTGTTGACAGACATTTTTTGCCAAGATGTCCACTATTCCTCACCTCCTCTCCATCATCTTGGTGAACTCTCTCCTCATGAGGAATCCACGGCTGAGAGCCTGGACCATGCCAACCAGAGAGGCCAGCTTTTCATCTCTCATCTCCTCCAGGACACCCAGCAGACCGGCTTTGAAGAACACCTGAGAGACAGGTTAACATGGTCAATTACGGAACCACAGTCAGATGGCGACAGAACTGGAAACAACACCACTAGATTGATTTAAACAACACAAACATTGCAATGCTTACAAACAAACCATGGGATAGGTTGTTTATAAGTTGTAAGTTATTGTACAGTTGTAGATGAATAATGAGTTTAGTTTCTCTTCTATACTTGTGATGTATGACATCGAAGAACAAAACTGTATGATGTTTTCCACATTTTCCATGAGTTAAATGAAGAAGAAAGAAAGAAAAAAAATGGATAGGCCAACTGGAGACCCATTGAAAGGTTAGGGTTTTATTGTCAGCTTTTGCTGGGGGTAGGTGACTGACCTTGGTGTGTCCAAACTTGTAATCCTCATGATTCACATCAATGGACCCAAGCAGCTTCTCAGAAGCCTTCTTGTTGTCCATGAACTGGCCCTCGGGGATGACACTGGCATTCAGTACTTTGTACCTGAACGAGGAGACAGTTTCAACATATGTCAAGTTGTAATAGGTTGGTTATATTACGTAAAAAGTAAAAAGCCTGTTTTGATGTTGGGAAAACCCTTGGAGCAGATCTGTGTATCTGTGTGTGTGTGTGTTCGGGCTTGTGTGTGTGTGTGTGTGCGCGTGCGCATGTGTTTGTGTGCACATTTGGGTTTCTGTGCTTGTACCTCTGCTTGAAGTCAGCATAGATGATTCTGCTGGGGAAGCCCTTTCTGCAGATCCTGATACCCTCCAGTACACCATTACACCTGAGCTGGTGGATAACCAGGAAGTTCTCCATCAGACCTGGTAAAACAGATCAAGTCTCTATTAATACTCATAAACAGCTTAAAGATTGGGCTCATTAAGGTTACTGATACTGTACTGATAAGATGTAATATTTAACTAAATATTTCTGGTACCTGGAGTCTTTGACTCGTTGGGGATCAGGCAGCGCACAAAGTGAGGATGAGTGCTCCTCAAGTTGGTCATCAGCTTATGTAAGTTCTCCTGTAAGAGGGTTACAAACCATTTTCTCAGAAATAATTTATGATATTCAATGCACCTTTTGAAGGAATGAATATACAAATGTCAAAAGCTCACCCTGAACTGGGAGGACACAGTCTGCATGGAACCACCCTTCTTCTTGCCTCCCTTCTTGGTGTTATCTGTTAAAATGGGGAAAGTACAATATAACTACACAAGTATACTTCTGAGAGCGGAATAATAATACGAGTATGTAAGAAATCTAGAATGGTCTTTCCTTCAGCAAGCACACTAAATATAAATAAGAGAATCTCTGGTTAACTTCATACTTATCTTTAATGCAAAATGCTGCCAATGAGATTGTGTAAAATAACACCTATTGTATGAGTAAATGAACCCAGTGAATAAGCCTGAGAATTTGCGATACATTCAAAAGACTTGAAAGAAAATGTTGTAACGTATGCTAGTCTTACCCTCAGGTGGGGCAGCGGGGTACAGGGCGGCCAACAGTTTAACTGAGGACTTCCCATACAGCTGAATAACTGAATCGTTCAGGGGGTCCTTGTTCTTCTCCAGCCAGCCCGTGATGTTGTAGTCCACAGTACCGGCGTAGTGCACCAGGGAGAAGTGGGCCTCTGCCTTGCCCTTGGCAGGCTTGGGCTTCTCAAATGCCTTGGTTTTGCCAAGATGCTGGGCATACAGCTTGTCCTTAAAGGTAGTGTCTGAAGACTTGGGGAACATGCACTCCTCTTCAAGGATGGAGAAGATGCCCAATGGCTTCACGAAAAAAGAGATGTATATGAAATTAGTAATATTTACATTTAGGATCACATTTATTCCTTTAGTAAACATGCTTTTATAGGATTATATTCATTTAGAGGCACATCATAGGAAACGTATTGAATTCTCAACAGTCAGAAACGTTTTACCACTGTGATAATATCTCACACAGCGCTCCTATGAGCTTTGCTGTTGCAGTCCATTATAATCCTTACAGACAGCTTACCTTCTCAATAAGCTCAATGCAGGCAGCCAAGTCCATGCCGAAGTCAATGAAGGCCCAGACGATTCCCTCCTTCTTGTACTCCTCTTGCTCCAGGACGAACATGGTGTGGTTGAAAAACTGTTGCAGTTTCTCATTGGTGAAGTTGATGCACAGCTGCTCCATGCTGTTGTACTGTTGGTGGAGTTTTAAAAGGGATCATTACATCATACAAGGCTGTAATCCATCTCAATCACAACTAATTGTCTTGTTCTGGTCTCATACTCACATCAAAGATCTCAAACCCGGCAATGTCAAGCACACCGATATAGAACTGCCTTGGATTCTTGGTGTCCAGCATCTCGTTGATACGGATGACCATCCACAAGAACATCCTCTCATAGATAGACTTCGCCAGAGCGCTGACTGAGTTATTAACCTGCAATGATAATACCTCAAATTAATACAGGAGATATTGAACATGTCTAGTGATAAGGTGATAAGAGCTTGGGGAAAAACATCATCACTAGAAAGAAAAATATATATACACTGGTCCCCAAAAGATTTCCGGCGCTCAGAAAATGGTAGATGCTGTGTTTGGTCGCCTTACCTGAGGCACAGTTTGTCCCTTGGTCACGTACTCGTTGCCGACCTTCACTCTGGGGTAGCACAGAGCCTTCAACATCTCAGCTGAGTTCAGGCCCAGCAGATAGCCGATTTTATCAGCCACTGGAGAGAGAACCAACAACGACAGACTCAGGCACACAAGATCGCTTGTTTCTGATGCCGCACTGACAAAATAGTTTGGCCAAACTCTTTTGTGGGTTTGGTTTAGATTTTCACCCACATCCATCATTTCAAATAATTTCTGGAGGTTGAAGTTTTAGTGACACTGTCTGCTTTACATGTTGTATATCTATGAGTGGGACTCACCCTCTGTGCCGTCTGGCTCGGCCTGCTCCTCACGCTGCTTCTGCTTGAAGTGCAAGTTTCCATGGTGCAGTACAGCTCCTGTCAGCTTGTAGATGCCCATCTTCTCCTCATTAGTGAAGCCCAGGATTGTAATGGCATCCTGGCATTAGAGAGGAAGCACAACGTTGATGAACTGACCGGTAGTTTGCCCAGTTACACTACACTACAGTTCTGTGGTCACTCCAGAACAAATGGGATGGATAGATTTGACTGTCTTCTCTGTTCCTCATGAGTACGCTTGGCCAACACTAGTAGATGACAGCACAAAAGGAGTTTTCCACATTTTCACAGGGCACTTAGTGGCGCTCTCTTGTGGATGTCTTACATGCATGTGCATCAAGGTGAAGTGTGAAGTCATGAAGAGTGCCCTGACGGACATGCCTAACCTACACAAGGTATTTAGAATCTAACAACAACAAAAAAAAATACATAAATTCCCAGCAGCCACCAATTTGGAATTGCACAGGTCATTCGGTGTGAATGGTGGTCCTACCCATTCCAGAGTTTGGTTAACCCTTGGTTTGACTCACGTCTGTGGCATCCAGCTCTTCCTTGTCGTTGATGCTGGCCACAGTGATCTGACCCTGGCTGCACATGGGGAAGTCGTAGGGGTTGGTGGTGATGAGCGCCATTTCTGTGGACAACGGAGAACGGCTTGTCAGTTAAATCTCTTAGAATGCTGCTGTCTTACCTTTACAGTTTCTCTTCCTCCTTTACTCAGTAGATGGACTCAAGGATACATGTAGTATATAATAAATAGCATCAAAAGAGGGGACTGAGACTTGTGGACTTGTGCATCACAGTGCATTACTTGATAGATATTTCCTAAAGACCTGACCCATGTCCAGATGCCTTGTTACCTTGGATGTTCTCACTGGTAATAGTATTCATAAGGTGGACTATGATTTTTCTAAAATAAATTCCACAGATATGGGTGGGAATAATTTCCCCTGAACCACTACTTTGCCGTACCAACAATCTCAGGTTTGTGGTTGGTCATCATCTGGAAGAAGATGTGGTAGCCTCTCTCATCGGGCAGCTGGAAGGACACTCTGGACTTTTCCAGCAGGTCTGAGAGAGAAAGAGCGAGAGAGAGTGAGAGAGAGCGAGAGAGAGACAGAGACAGAGAGAGAGAGAGAACATGAGATAAAATGTAATTTGATGACACAATCTCCAAAAAAGAATCAGCGTGAATTCAGGAAAGTCTTGAGAAACAATCAAAACCAACTCACAGGTCTCAATGTCAGCTTTAGCCAGTTTGCCACCTTGGAAGTGAATCCTGATGAATTTACCCTATAGTAGAGCATGGGGGTTAGAAATAGGTCAACAAAGCAAATCTAACATTTTACTTTGAAAGACCCCTTTAAATGTTACAGTTTGTTCGACATTTATTGATATAACAACAGGAAACTACTGAAATACATTTTTCCAATATAAGGTAACTTTCACAGTACTTCATACTTACGAAGCGAGACGAGTTGTCGTTCCTCACTGTCTTGGCATTACCGTAAGCCTCCAGCAGAGGGTTAGCTGCAATGATCTGATCCTCAAGAGACCCCTGATTGAGACAAACACAAGTTGCTCAGAAACTGGTAAAGTGGTAAAGTTAGTTTTTCTCAATTTCTTGGGCACTTTTCTTGAAACATGATTCACCGATGGAAAAACAAGTTGATACTGCCAACCAAATGGAAATGTGTTATAAAGGAAACATGAGCACAACCTACCTGCATTTTGTTGGGGTCTGCTTCCTTCTTGGCACCAGACACTGCAATGGTGGCGAAGTACTGGATGACACGCTTGGTGTTGACAGTCTTTCCTGCACCGGATTCTCCACTGGTTTATATGCCAGAGAAAGACGAGCATTGGAAAAAATACACTGTTGACCTGTTTTCTAACATAAGTAAATCATTAACCAATATTCCCACTCATCGACTCATTATTACACATAGCCATAATATTCATAATGTCATGTATTTCATCACACCAAGTGACCTAATCCATTCATAATGTCATGTGACCCAACATATTACAATAGAAACACCTTCTCAAGTGAATTATAGTAAACAACTTACGTAATCAGGACGGACTGGTTTTCATTATCTGTAACCAAAAAACAAATTGCTTATCATACTCAAGCAACATTATGGGTACATTGATGCATTCATAGGGTTCATTCAAAATGGTTTTTCCCTCTTTTAGCGATAATTCAAACGTCAGCGCGGCAGCTCATTCTAATATTTTGGGGTGTGGTTTACGTACAGCTATTTTTGTGCAACCGTGAGTGAGAGTGTCATTCCAGTTGATCTAATGTGTTGTGTATTGCCATTTATTTTAAATGAGAATATGGCCAGTGCTTGTCTTGTGTAAGACTAGTGTGGTGTGGCCTTATGTCAGTGAGCAGTGTTGTCTGAATCAGTGGTATTCAATTCTCTCTGTAGGAACCCCCAGATGTTCCAAAGCTAGCACACCTGATTATTTAGCAGTGCATATAACCATTTGTTTTAAGTGTGTACCTCTCTAAAGCATTTTTAAATTTCCATCAATGCTTCCATCCGTTCATCCATAAACACTTATGGACTTTGAGTTCCATATGCATTTATGGACATCCATCCATCCATCCATCCATCCATCCATCCATCCATCCATCCATCCATCCATGAGAGCTCGTACCAATCTGCATGAACTGAAAGGCGTTGTCAGAGACGGAGAAGATATGGGGTGGAGCCTCCATCCTCTTCTTCCCTCTGTAGGCGTTAACAACCTCCATGTCGTACACGGGGAGCCACTTGTAGGGGTTCACCGTGGCACAGAAGAGCCCAGAGTAGGTCTGGATGAAAGGGATTAAATTAAATTAGGTGATTAACGAAGTCAGATGGACTTTTACCTGGATTTATGTAAGGATGTGGTTGTATACTTGTGTGGGTCTACTGTATTGATATGTTTTGGTTTCTACCATTCATTTATATGTAGTACTGTATGTGTGTGTGTGTGTGTGTGTGTGTGTGTTTGTGTGTTTGTGTGTGTGTGTATGTGCTGGTTTCTTACATAGATCATCCATGCTGCATAACGCTCTTTGAGGTTATACAACACAGAGGCTTCATTCAGGTAGGTCATCATGGCCATGTCCTCAATCTTGTCGTACTTAGGGGGGTTCATCTGGTAGACGTCTGCGTCTTTGAACTCTTTTCCTTCCTGAAACAGTCAGAAATCTAGATTACACAGATCAAACTGGACATGACTGAATGCTTTTTGATCATTAAATAATTGAAGTTCAATCTCTTAAAAACATATTTTTTAAACCATTTAATTAAACTACTTTGCTTTCACCCACCGACATTGACTAGTCAATATGAAAAATGCCACGTTTGAAGGTTATGGTCTGCTTACAACAAAACAAAGCAATGCTTCTTAATTTATCTTTTGTTACTGATTTCATTTAGCCTATTGGCATGTTTTTGATTCTTCTTCTTCATTTTTTAAAAAGAAATAGAGTACATGCATAAACTCTAACTTTAATACTTTTAAAATCAGGCTTACGTCCTTAGTGCCGTCAGGATTCGTGACTGTTACAGTACACTTCCCGTCAGCCCTGGCAGTGACCAGACCCTTAAGGTACAGCTCCTTGGTGTCTGACACATAGCAGGCGTTCTTTGAATCAAAGGGTGCGGCTTGTGCCTCCATCCTCTCCTTCTCAGGCTTACGGAGGTATATGGCAGCCTTGCCGTAGATTTGCATCTCCGCGTCCGTACTCATGTTGACGGATCACTATAGGAAAGAGATGAAACAAGAAACATGATTGACTCAGTGGTGCTTCCTCCCCAGTCAACAAAGTAAGGTGAATGGTATTTCTCACAGAACATTTTTTTTTTTTTTACTTTTTAAGACTCAAACCATATCTCACCTTCTTTTTCCCCTTCTACAGATGAATTTGTACTACTTGGAGGACCCTGTGAAACATTAGGGTGTTGTGAATACGCACAAGTCTAAAGCCCTGTCATTTAGCCCCCAAAGGGCTACAAAACATTTTGAAAGTCATAATTCAACTCAATCATTAGGCCATGTCCAAGTCAACTACAGGTGCAACTGGTAACTTTCATTTCCCTAGTGGCAACTCACATTACTACACATTTAGTCAAGAATTCAAATAAAACCCAATTACATTCTAGACCACCCCCTCAATTTACAACTAAGTGCAGGAGCACCACTTTGGACCATAAATGAAAGTTACAGATTTGAAGTAAAACACATTTAAAGTAAAGCACCCAAAAAAAAGCCACTTAATTAATTGCATATTGTAAAATCTTAGTTGTTGTTGCAGAAATCAATTTAAAAAAATAAATTACAAAAATCTATTCAGAAGGTGCAGTTAGCTACTGCCTCAGATGCTGAGCACAAAGATGAGACAAATGTAAATATCTTAGGAGGTGGAGAGAGTCTTACCAGAGGAAGAAGGTTTATGACTTATGGATACTGGGGTCTCAGCCTGCTTATATCTGGTTGAAAGTGCCAACCAAGCAAAAGTTAATTATGGACCACTCTGGTTAAGGAAATGAATTGGATGAGAGACCTCTGTATGTCTATGTTTCACTAGCGTCACCAACTTCCAGGAGCGCAAACACTCCCATTACATGACTTTTTAAAGTAATATTTGACTTCTGAATTAAATTTAACTGAATTTATGTAAATTAGAGATGTCTTTACTAATAATGATGACAATATCAAAAGACTGATTCATCAAATTGAGTGCAATGTTACTACGACTGCACTTCAAATACTGTAATGGAGAGAGTCCATGTTGCCCCACTCCCACTATTTAGTTTTGCATCAAATCTAATATGACCTTATTTAGTAACATTTTAGTGGCAATAATCATTATCAAACTATTTTTTCCTATTTTTTTCCCCTATTATTTAGCTTGTAAAACCATCCGAACTGTCTCCTCGCCTCATGCTTGAGACGGAGTTGGCCGTTACCTCGTGCTTTGCTTAGTGTGATTTATCACCGTGGTGAAACCATATTAAATATGTAATAGCTATAACAGAGACATGTAGGCACTCGACAGCTCATTAAAACTGCTAAATCAAATGTGTAGTTATTTATCAGTAGGATCTAATGAAGATGCTGGAGGCGCTTTTTATTTGTCTCACATTTCCGTTGGCTAAAACGGTCCAGCAGGATTCTTACAACTTACGTGACACCAGTCCAGTATTTCAGTAATCTCCTCCTCTCAAATTGCTGACAGCGATATAGCTGCCTTAAACTTTACTACACTCTGAAGTAAACCGCTTATACTCGTCGAGCAGGAGGCTGGGCTGACCATCTGGAAGGACCCCGTCAAGGCCATTTAATTTCTTGGCCTGTGCTCCCGTCTTCACTACAGCCAAGGTTTATTGTTTGGTATATCTGCCAACATTTCCACACAGCCTTATTCTGGCACCGATGCCACTGTTACTAGTCATACGATATCTACTTGACATGTTTCTCTAAGCTTCAAAGTTGCTCTGGGCAGAAGTTATCCTTGGCAAATCGTAACAACCATTACAGCCATTACTTAATGTCATTAAGCAGTTTTCTCAACATTATAAAACATCATTGTACATATTTTACATATTTTGGCGGTGCCTTGTGAGGATCAGACAGTAACTCTTGATCCAATACATTTTAAGGGTGCTTTAAACGACTCAGTCTGTGCTCGCAAAGTAGTCGTCATATTTTTCCGACATGTTTTTCTGACTTCTTGAACCCATTTAACCCCAACATTTCTTCAAGTTTTTATCATCATTGTAAAGCCTTGATTATGTTAAGTAATTTCTGAAGATTGTTGTTTAATTCATGTGATTAGTGATACATTTACATTTGTACCTCATTTTAATGTCAACCCTGTTACATGAACTGAACTCTCGTTTGGTGAAACTGTTCCTTTTTAAATAATATTTTCAAAAGGAACATTGAATATCTAATAGTCAAATCATAGTGTAAAAGCAGGTGATCTGGTTCTACTCTTTTTGGCAATTTTCTGGTGTTTTGTGGTGGAAAACTGAATGCGTCGAGCATAACACGGCAACCCGGTTACCCGTGGATAGATAGACTAGAAATGTTTTAACAATGTTAATGTTTTTTTGTGGAGCTTGCATTCAATTTCCACTCCCTGTTGCACACAACAAGCTTCCAATTCCCCCTGTCACGAGGGGATTCGTGGCTGATTTATAGATGAAAACCTCAACCCTATTACGATCAATCCTGTTACTTTAATGGCACTTACTTTCTATAGTCGTTTTTAACCCCTTGAGATGAGAGATGTTTTTATGAAGTTCAACGTCTGCTCTTCATAACAAAATGTTAAAATTAGGTGAAATTAATCGTTTTTATGACTAAGTCACACACCCAAAATGTACTCTATTTGTGGAACGACCCTTTTTGTCACCACGGACAGGAGTTTGCCTGAGACACCCCAATGCCTTGGCTTACATCAGGATTTGTAACATGATTCAATCCACTAAAATGTCACGGACAGTACAAATCTAAATCTGGATGTGAAATGCCACATGCTGTGGCATGGTTCCACGAATCTACAGAGCTGTAAATCTATTACCGTGGACAATGTCTGAAATGTGAGGACCTTGTGGTCGACTAATACGTTCAAAATAATGTGCTGGCCTGTACTGGATCTCTCTCTATGGTGCACATTTATGAGGTCTTCACTTTTTTAGTGTGAAGTCAATGGAGGGCTAAATGTGAATATTAATCTCATACATTTACAAGGATAAACACTTGGATCAAATGGGGAGGTGTTTTTCAGCAAGCTTTACGAATCTTTGGAAAAACATGCTAAGAGGCATAAATGGCAGTGTTACAAGAAGTTACATTTGTTACCCCGTCTGTGGCCAATGGCCATGTTCAGAAACTGGGTGTCAGAAATACATGCAGTCTAACGTTGTTTGGGATTGCTTTATGACCCTCCGTCATCGAAAGGTCAAAGTATCAAACCACATGTGCAGAGCTGTTCTTTAAAACTCATAGTTGATGATGGCAGAGTTACAAGAAGTATACAAATGCAACTGATAATTTACAAGTCCAATATGACCATTTTCAGAAACAGCTGTGTCAGAAATACATCCAGCTGCACACAGCATTGATTTATTGCTCTGTAGGCAGATCTGCTTCCATTTGATTTATTAATCTGTAGGCAGATCTGCTGTCATTTGAGTCATGCACCAGAGGATGTGACCATATACGAAAAAAGACATGATATGGCCATCAAACGAGCCAGTGAAATACCTGCTTCTTTTTGGACATCTTTATTTCTAGACTTTCAAATATGAAGCGATGTGACGTTTTAATCTCGTATGTTGAACAATGTCTAAACATTATACTATTATAGACTAAACATTATACTATTATAGACTAAACATTATACTGTTATAGACTAAACATTATACTATTATAGACTAAACATTATACTATTATAGACTAAACATTATACTATTATAGACTAAACATTATACTATTATAGACTAAACATTATCCTATTATAGACTAAACACTTATACTATTATAGACTAAACATTATACTGTTATAGACTAAACATTATACTATTATAGACTAAACATGATACTATAGACTAACATTATACTTTTATAGACTAAACATTATACTATTAAGACTAAACATTATACTATTATAGACTAAACATTATACTATAGACTAAACATTATACTAGTTATAGACTAAACATTATACTATTATAGACTAAACCATATACCTATTATAGACTAACATATACTATTATAGCAAAACATTATACTATTATAGACTAAAACCATTATACTATTATGACGACTAAACATATACTCTTATAGACGAATAAACATTATACTATTATAGACTAAACATTATACTATTATAGACTACAAACATGTATACTATTATAGACTAAACATTATACTATATAGACTAAACATTATACTTATAGACTAAACATTATACTATTATAGACTAAACCATTATACTATTATAGACTAAACATTATACTATTATAGACTAAACATTATACTATTATAGACTAAACATTATACTATTATAGACTAAACATTATACTATTATAGACTAAACATTATACTATTATAGACTAAACATTATACTATTATAGACTAAAAATTATACTATTATAGACTGACTAAACATTATACTATTATAGACTAAACATTATACTATTATAGACTAAACATTATACTATTATAGACTAAACATTATACTATTATAGACTAAACATTATACTGTTATAGACTAAACATTATACTATTATAGACTAAACATTATACTATTATAGACTAAACATTATACTATTATAGACTAAACATTATACTATTATAGACTAAACATTATACTATTATAGACTAAACATTATACTATTATAGACTAAACATTATACTGTTACAGACTAACATTATACTATTATAGACTAAACATATACTATTATAGACTAAACATTATACTATTATAGACTAAACATTATACTATTATAGACGAAACATTATACTATTATAGACTAAACATTATACTATTATAGACTAAAACATTATACTATTAATAGACTAAACATTATACTATTATAGACTAAACATTATACTGTTTACAGACTAAACATTATACTATTATAGACTAAACTTATACTATTATAGACTACACATTATACTATTATAGACTAAAACATTATACTATTATAGACTAAACATTTACATTATAGACTAAACATTATACTATTATAGACTAAAACTTATACTATATAGACTAAACATTATACTATTATAAACTAACATTATCTATTCTAGACTAAACATTATACTGTTATAGACTAAACATTATACTGTTACAGACTAAACATTATACTATTATAGACTAAACATTATACTATTATAGACTAAATATTATACTATTATAG